ACTACTAGTAACAAGAAGCTACTAGTAGCTCCTGGCCTTACTACTAGCAACAAAAAGCTACTAGTAGCTCCTAAAAAATAGCTAGTGAAGACACAACTCCCTGGGACTCTTGGATTGATGTTTTGCATCTCATCATTGGCCTACCCAACAAATGTCTGCCGCTGACCTGCAGCTGACATATTTGTCTTTTCTGTTTCTGCTAATTACGCACGTCTCGTCCAAACTCTCAGCCGCAGCTTGGTGGCATGTCAGCATGTTGGAACAATAGCCCTGGTCCCTGGTTCATTTTTAAGGACCAATCTAGATTGCAACACCAGGTCAGCCCTTTTTAATGGTCCAAAGGAAGTGTAGGGGCGCCCGCTAGTTGCGCTGCTTGGCCATGGGACCCATGGTTCACCCGCTACGAACCCTCCAAATCGGACGCTGGGCCGAGCGGTGACCAGGCACTCCGTTCACCCAAAGACCCGAAGCCGGTGACCCAGCCTTGGAGCGTACTGCTTCAGCTTCACAAAGATGTGACACTTTGACTCCCCCAGCTCAACGAGACATGGGAGAAGGGACATGAGAATATCGAAGGCCCACAGCACAGGACGAACTTCCTGGTAGAATCCCAGGAATTGGTGCCCTGGCCAGGCTAAGGTCAATGGGACACTCCAAACGTCACACATGATCATCACCAACGTGAAAACCTGCCAGGCATGGACCACGCTATCCGCACACGTGCCCCAATAGACGGGGTGGTACTGTTGCAGTGAAATCACTGAGCTACGAGAATCATCCGAGACTCTCTTTGACACGTGCTTTCCCGAGACGTTTTCCACGTAGAGGGAGTTGTACAATTCCACGGCGTCCTGCTCTGAGACCACGAAGGATTCACGCCATTCGTCCAGCATCTGTATCTGCTGCTTTTGCATTTGCGTCTGGTTCGATCGATTCAAGGCGACCGGGTCCACTTCCGTGGGCTTGGTTGGGACACCATCCACCAGCAAGAAGGTCCTGAGGTTAGGTCGCGAAACAAAAACAACACCTATGAACACATAATCTGAAAACTAGAGGCGAGCATGGCGGTTGGAAAGGCAATTGGTTAAGTATCAACCTCTGGTTTCCTCAAGCGACTTGTGCAAACTTTGCCGAGATCTTTCAGTACTCCCACACTTGATAGAGGTTGAAAAACTAAATATAAACAAAAATAGACAGCGATGCCGTACAGCCGCTCCACGGGGTTTTGCTCTCGCCTCCACGTTTCGTGGGGACTGGATCTCTTCCCGCGCCATGTGACGTTTTTCTGGGTGCTTTTGCCCGGAAAAATGCTTTTTCGATGCTTTTGGGTTTGAGCCACCGAATGCTACCAAGCTGCACATCTGAAGCACGGTCTTTTTTGTTGGGGGGGCTTCCCCCCGCTTCTGCATCCGCTCCCGCATTGATCAACTCGTCCAAACCTTCGGCAAGTGTATGAAGATCATCCTGGGCTCGCAAGGTCGCTGGCAACAAATATCAAAGCAAATGACTAGCAAGGTCGCTTCCTCCAACTACCGACCATGTGCCACATGTGCCGCATGTGATCAGCTGACAAACCAAGTTTGCGGTTGCGAAAGGAAAGCTCATCAATTCTGTAGCTGTAGCTATGGAAGCCCTCCAAGATCCTCCAAGTTCCAAACATAGCAATTGTAAGTAACCGACTTGTAGTGATTCTCACCACGTTTCACAAACACGTTCCTCCTGGGGGAGAGCTATTGACAGTCCAGGAAAGTAGCTACAGCTAATGCTACATGTTATGTTCCCAAACGAGAGGACAAAAGGTGGTTGCTGAGATTGGTAACAAATGTGGCCCAAACACAGCTCAGGCCCAGCATCAAGGGCGTCGCCCAAAGTCTTCAAGCCCTGGGTTAACTCTTCGCGTTTTCGTCGAAGCTCTGGTAAGAGTTCCAGCATTGCGAGAACTGTTGGGCCAAAAGTGGCCAATCAAAGGCCGTCGAAAAAGGCCCCTTTTTGTGGACCTTGAGCCGACTCTAGAAAGGCGGAATGTAGAGGATTCTCGTTGCGACCTTCAACTCAACAAAATCTGGTCAATCATCGTCCATGCCTTCTGGTAGACTCTTGGTTATATACATGTATAATATGTACTCCCCCATATGTTGTATGTTTGAGTATCCAAGTAGGCGGGGGTTCTGAAGAGTCCAACGCAAAGGTAGACCGGTGGCGCAGACATCCACCCTCAACTGGACACGGTCGCGGTCGCCTCACAGGCGTCCAACGCGCTTTCGGCGGCCAAGTGGAGCATCACACGGTCCTGGTTGGTGACCTGACCGTGACGAGGTGTGTACGCGGCCGATGCACGCCTGAGCCGTTGAAAGGACGAGGTGTGTACGATCTAAATGAAACCTAGCTACAGTAGCTTTAGCATGTTCTAGGACATGTGCTGGTCCTTCCACCCTTGAATAAGGAAGGTGTCCCATGTGAAGCTAAAGCCAAAGCGCCTTTGGGTGGCAATTCTAAGCTCGACCACTCCTGAAGATAATTGTCCTGCAAAAAACGTGCCGCCAGAAAGCCATGCCACTCACCCACTCACACTTGATTATGGCGGTGTTCACTTCCATGATAATGTGAGTTAGAGTGTACACTCCGGAAAACTAACATGGACCCTGAAAACCACTGGTTGGTAGACTTCCAGGTTACCATTGTCAGGGTCTATGTTAGTTTTCGGGGGTGTAGCTATATGTACCATGTGGCCACACAAGAGCCACGAGATTGTTTCGCACCCCGCTCTCACATGTCTGCAGCCAAGAGTTCCGGACTTCAACCGTACGGATCTCAAGCGGCACCAAAGGATACCCTTTTATGGTCGAATCTCAAGTGTTTGACGGCCAAGACCAGGGGGAAGCTCCAGGGAAAAGTATTGTTATAGTATTGTTATAATATACACTAGGGCTCCAAGTACGTTCTAAGAAGGTGTTTGGGGTGGGTTTAGAGGGTCCAGTCATGCCTTCCGAGGAGGTACGAGTGGAGCCCGAACGGGATATTCGTCCCAAGTCCCTGCCTGATATCGCTGTGGCAAGGTTGGAAGCACATGACCAGGAAAGCCGAAGTCTGTCATTCGCACCTCGTGGCCCCAACCGTAGGGCCCATAACGCTGGGTGGGACCTGGGAGTGGGAAGGTGTCAAGCATTCCGAACCCCAAAAGGGCTCACAGCCAGCGCAGCCGTTGATCCGTAGCGTTTTTGAACGCTCCACTGTTCAAATGGTGTGTTTCTTGGTGTTTTGCTTGGTAGGCGGTAGGCATGTGCAACATATTGGCGACTGTCCGAAGCCAAGTCCTAGCCAGATTTGAAGCATCATGAGCGCAAGGCTTGAAATGAGTTTGTAGAACATGTGGTAGGAGAGTGGTACCTGATAGCCGATAGCCACTTCAATAGGTTCAAAAATGACTTTGTATAACCATCTATATAGTGCAAATCAATCCAATAACTGCCTCTTTCCCAAGACTTTCCGCTCGTCAATCGGATCGCTCCACCTCACCGGAAATGAACTCCGACAAGCTGGTGGTCTGATCTGAAGAGCGGAGCTCCTAGTCGACGCCGCCAAACAGATCTAGATTTGACATCGCGACATCATCCAGTCATCAGAGTAAGGACCTTCTTCCTGCATTCGCAGTGTTCCACTCCAATTGACTTATGCATTCGATCGACCTTAACGGATCCCATTTCGTGTGCCTCTGTGTGTGGAGGGATCACATCGAGCCGCCGGTCACATCGAGCCGCCGACTGCATTGATGTGGATGTGGATCAAGGCAAACCCTCCCTGACGGCTTGGGCTTGGTCCAAATCCTCCGTCCTGGAAGGCCGTCGCCAATGCATTTGAAGCAGTTCCCTGCGCTGAAGACGTCAATGAGGTGAGCTGAAGACCTGGCTGCTGGGATCGCTCTCAAAGGAGCGACGTGCTATCGAAAGCCACAGGGCTGGCCCTGTGCATCCGCATACACGTAAACCATCAAATTCTGTGTGCCTCGTTGTGCCTCTATAGGCGTGATTGGTTATTTTGATAATATGACGTATCATGCTGTCATGCTATATAGTTTCTCCATCTGTCAGTGCTAAACCATGCTAAACCCTCTATTCACAAGCTGTTCTGGGGGCGCCTAGGTGGTTACAAACGACACATCAGGGATCCTTGGGTGAATCGCTCTCAGCATGCAAGCATGCCGTATTACTGTAGCAGCTCTGATTATTGTGTAGTCTCAACATGTCTCAACTATTGGACAAACATCTGGAATGTCCACATGCAATCTGAAACAAGAACCCGTCCTAGAGAAGTTATGAAGTTATGCTCATAAGTTGTTGAACTCCCAAGGTGTTCGGTTGATCACCCAAATTTGCCAAGACCTGTGGTTTCACGGGCCCAAGACTCTAAGATCTACACCTTGGCCCCACGCTGTGGGGGTACCAGGCGTCACCGGGTTGGACACTGGGTGGTCCCAAAAATCACCCCCCGGATGCCTCTACTTCACAAAATGTGGCGGAATCCTTGGTGCGGGCCTTGACATATTGCATCATATTGCAGGTGCGGGGCCTATGGTTGGTCCAAACCTCGGTTGAGGAACACCGAACAAAGCGATCCCAAGGGGCTGCGTGTGGCATCTGGCGCATCCCGCAGGAGTGAAGTTGTCCGTGCACGTGCCGCACCTCAAGCTAGCAATCAGCGGCAAAGAAGCGACAATGCTGGAGCCTTAAAGCTGCTTGAGAACCTGATAGGGACAGTTTCTTCGTTTGCCTGTTCCATCCCCGAGGAACAGGGGAAAAGCTGTTGCCAGAAGCAAAGGGCCTCAAGCAACGTAGTTGGTCAGGATCAGAAGCATCTTCGAAAAACACCGGAGGGCCGGAGGGCCTGATTGGACAGCCTCGGCTATCATCTCTAGGGCACATTGTGAGGCTTAAGAGCTGGCTATGAGGACTACAACATCCGGGAATCTGGGCGGACACGTTGATTTTCCCGTGGACGTTCCTTGGGTCGCACCTCAGTCACGCCAAAAACCGTACTCCACACAACCTCTCGCACGTACGTGAGCGCGGAAAACGCCTACGGCTGGATCGTCCGGTGGCCCACAAATCACCAGCTTCATCACCTTGCAGCGAACATCGGCTCCCCATGGGCCCCGGCATGACCAAATGGTGGTCCCTTGAGCCGCATCCATCCGTGCTTTCCATTCACGGATTTTCCACCCTTCAAGTCAAACAAACCATACCAAATCCGATAAGAACATGGAATTCAATAATCTTATAGGTAATTATAGAGACACAATAGACATAGATTTTCAAAGGAAACATCCAGAAAGAACTCCCCTCCTCCCAAGTGAACAAAAGGGGTGGAAAAAACAAACATGAAACACATTGCAAAACAACTAATGCTGAAAGGGTGACCTGCTGCCTCTGCAGCGCTGGCAGCAACTGCTCCAACAGTTGGCAACAACTCCCCAGACTCCGAGATGCCAAGAAGTCCTGGCGTGGCTCTTGAAGAAAGTCCGGCCAAAATGGTTTGGAGGTGAGCTCCTGCTAAAGTAAGTTGCTCGAGATTCTTGATTGCTATAGCCACTGGGTTGGCCACAACTGTGCAGTCATTGCTGAAATCAATCCTGAATCGACTGGGGGTCGGCCCCCTGTAAACGAGCATCGGCGCCGGTCTGATCTGCCTCGACTGATTGCAGCCCGTGGCTTCTCTCATTCAAGAGTTCGTCCACACCCAAGTCCAACCATAGGGCCTGAGTGTTGACTCCATTGAGGTGACTGAGTTAATTTTTGGATTAATTATATATCATGCCTGCGACGTGGTCCTCTTCAGAATCCCTCGCCCCATGACCCTTCACTGCCGTGCAGCTGAATTGGTAAAGCAGGCTCCAGCCCAGTGGCTCTGTAACCTGGACGAGCTCGGCGCTCTGAAAAGACATCAGGTGATGCTGGACCGCCGTAAGCGTGTGGCATTAGAAACAGAGTAGATGGCACAAACCTCAAAGGGCGGTTAATATGGACCCCTATCTAAAGGACATCATGGGGTCTGAGCCATCTACTTTGATATATCAGAAGCCGCGCTGATATAAATAACTCTGGGTCACGTCCCCAATCCCAGAGCACATCCTGATAAACCAAACAGTCTGTCTTGGCCAACCAAACCTCATAGTGACTATGACCAACCCGCTGACCAACCCGCAGCACCAACGCAGCACTGAGGTCGGAACTCCAGTCTCACTGCCACGAAGGATGGCGTGGAGACACCACCCACAAATGACTCCAAAGCCTGCAGGAATGTGCCAAAGTGAGACTAAGGAGACAGGAAACCAATTTATCTACATAAAAAAAAATTAGCGATTTTAACAAAAAAATAGGTGTTCTGGCTGAGAACAGGTCAGTTGCAAAATAAACTCGATGAACCAGGCCAGCGGCTGGCGCTTCAATATGGCATATGGTTAAGACCCGATCAAAACCAACGCACTAAAACAGGAAACACGGTCAGATTCGCAACAACAGCTCAAAAGCACAGCCAAACAAAGACTCGGTCCAGAATCTCTGCGACGTACGGTCCAGGATGATGAACCAAGTCTCGCTAGGAACCCATTCCCATCCCACCTTCCAATAGAAGCAACACATCAGTCCCCATGCATATACTACTCTACTATTTGGATTATTTTACTAGTTACTACGTACTACCCCCGCTACAAATCCTCCAACAACAACAACTACCTGCTACAGAATCCCTCCACCTTCCGCTTCCGCCGCCTGCAAGGCCGAGGAGGCGCCGCCCGAGTCCCAGCGACCCAAGGAGCGGCTGGGGGCACTGGAGCCAAGGTCCGCAGTGAAGGCCTCCAACGCCAGCAGCGCCCTGAGAGGGCTTAAGATGTTACGCGGGCAGGTGTTTTGGAGCAAAGGTGGGGCGAGGCGTTGATCATGTGCGAAGGTTTGATGATGTTTTCTCCTTAGCTATGAAAGCTAAAAACATCTAAAGACTATTGCTACTTTGGGGGGCTGAGTTGTTTGATATCAGGGGGCAAACATGCTGAACGCGATGTTGGGCAAGTGAGACTGGATAGCAATGCCACATGCACTTGTGCCACGTGACGGTCCATTGACAATATATATATATATATCCTGCCTCAAACATCCTCAGGCCCTGGCCTTCCAAAGCAAAATCCCTGCAAATGGCGTACATAGCAGCAGGATGCAAGAACAACGTCGGCATTTTCCATGTCAGATCCGATTCATATCTCGTAATTGACCTACACCGTCACTGTCACACCATGAGCCCACACAGGCACCCACACGCGAAACCGGCCATGAAGATTCATATATGAGAACACCTAACCTAGTAGGGTGCATTATCTATATACAGTGTGCATATATATATATATATATGTGTGTGTGTATCTCTCTCTCTCTCTAAGGATGCCGTCTACAGGATGGCAGGAAACCGTTGTTGGGTGGGGGAGCGAGCAAATAAAGAGTTAAGTCTTGAGATTATTGCTTTCAGGTTCCATGTTGAACAATTGCAGTCAGTACAGTATGAATTTGAGCTGTATAGATATATATATAATATATCAAGATCGGTGTTGCAAAGGGGGTTGCATCTTTCTCTGCCCGCCCAAACGCGGATGCCCTCATCCAAAACCTGGCAAGGAGCCCATCTCCGATGAGCTCCTTCATCCAACTTGCAAAAATACCGCGGATGCCGTGAGCATGACGAGGGTTCATAATTGGACCTCAACACTCAAGACATGACTGAAGCATCATGACAAAACGAATCTGCTTGGTAATGGTTGGCGCAGTGGTGCAACGTACTGCAACGATCCAGTTCACTCTTCAATCAAGCTCCCAAAGGATGTGACGTGATACATGGTTTCAAGATTAGACCACAACAGTGTGATCCATTGGAGCATAGACCACCGGATTGTGAAGGTCGAAAAATAGAGGCTTCTCCGCCCTCGAAGAAAGCAGAACTCCCCTCAAACCTGAATCTTGCAACCAATTTGCGACGGATTTACCGGGATGAATCACCGTCCGACACTGTAGGCACATCATCCGTGAACTCACACCTCTCTGAAAACAACCCGATGCCAAGACACAGCGCTGGTCAAGTTGGGTGCGGCCCATACAAAGGACCTTCGCAGGTGTTTCGACTACGAAGAACGGGACCTTCGAGGCCTGTTTGAGCTACACACTACACACCTGGTCCTGTGGGTAGGCTGGCATCCACCCATGACATGGCAAGACTCATCGGCCTTCTGGCATGTTCTGGCAACATCTGGCAACGATCAGGTTTTCTCACTCCAGATGGCCGGATGGCGAAGCGTGATGAGGGAATCATCGCTGATGAGAGAATCATCGTTCTGGCCCTCATAAACGTGTCAGGAGAGTAGATGGGACCATCCCCCAACTAAAGAACATCTTGTATGGACCCCATCTAAAGAACATCTTGGGGGGTTGTGCCATCTATTCTGAAACCACAGTAAAAACATCTGAAAACCTTAAAAGATAATCCAAGAAAAAACACAACGCGGTAATCGGTTGAATCTCTTCATTTCTCTGGCCAGGGCATTTCCAATATCTGGCGCTCAGGTGGTCTGACCAAACCAAGATGCTGTCATGGGCAGGCATGCTTCCTTCCATGGCGCCACCAACTCTGGCAAATGTCGGTGAAGTTCATGTAGCTCTGCTGCCTTCTGGCACACACTGTCGACAGGTGGGTTTGGGAGACAGCATGTGAGATCATGTGAGGAGGTGCAGTCCAGTTGACCCAGTAGTATTGTTGAAACCTGTCCAAAGATCGCAAGTGACTCTGGAACAACACGAAACATGCATAGCTCATGATGTGTCTGTCTGCTACCAACCGGCCTGGTAATGGGACCCATTAAACCGCATATACCACTCCGCATACCCTCTTGTATTTTACCGGACATGAAAGCCCCCAGACATTGCCATTCGTCTATCACACCTCCCACCATCCCATTCTCCACTGGCCTCATGGATGCTGGACGAGTACCTGTGGAAAGGATTGACAAAAAGGCAAAACTTGCATCTGCTCCGCCAACGGTCAATGTCCCACCTGTAGACAGAAAGCTATGGGTCTTTGCCTTTTATGAAGCGACGCGTCGAAAACCGTAGAACGACCACGACGGGCGTCGCAGGGCCCGACCGGATGCGATCGACGGCGCGGCTTGGAGGATCTAAGGGGTTTTCACTCGTGACGAATAAGATTCGCTCACTGGGTTCGGGTCAGGGGGACAAACCCTCTTACAAGTGTCTACCGTCACGGTGGTGCCAAACTCCAATCAAGTCGCTGCTTCCGGCGCTGCCGTTGCACCGCTGCCGTCGGCGGGGGCGGTGCACAGGGAAACTCCACCGAAAGGGACATGGCGAGGGTTCAAAGGTCCGTGCAAAGCAGTGAGGGTTACCTACTACTAAGGCACCTGTTACTACTAGCGTGGCACTTGTTCCTAGTAGCTTCTTGTTACTACTAGTAAGGCACTTGTTACTAGAAGCGATGCACTTGTTCCTAATAGCTTCTTGTTCATTGGGAGGGGTTCCCTGCAAGGACTTGGAGGCGAGTCTACCTTGGGGCTTGCTGAAATGACATCTGTCACACCAGATGGTCTTTACACTGCTCGTGACTGGTGACTTGAGAGCCACTCACCTATGCGTTCGATCATTGACTCACTTGCTTCTAGCCTCTCTTCTCACCATGGCGGGGAACATCCAAGATTGTCTTCCACAACCGTGGTGAACATCACCCATCATCACCCTTATCTATCCTACATTTGCGACTTGTCGGCGTGAGTGTCGGCGTTGCCATGGTCGACCAAAAAGACTCGTTACAAATGAATTCGCTGAAGCCAATGACCAAGAAGCCATGCAAGCAGCACACCTTGGCTCTGCCCCTCGGCCAGCGTTTGGATTAAGCGCGGGTTTGGAGTAAACTGAATCAACAAAAGGTGAAGGTGGGTTCATGTGGCTTCCGCCATGGCCCCCCCAAAGGAAACAGAACAGGTTCTCCGAAATGCCCTTTGGTGTGTGGCTGGAGGTCTTTAGGGATGCCATGGGGTGCCACGAACTTGAGGCACTGCCAACAACCCCCGCATGTCTACACCGGTAATTGCGGTGTGGAACAAAGAGCGCGCAGCTCCACAGCGAGCCGAAGCCAGATTAAGGCTGCTCCTTCCAATTCTCCTGCCTGTTTGGAAGTTTTGCAGGATGATGGATTGACATCGGAGATTTCAGGGGCAAAGTCCTCTTCCAGTGTCTGTCAATCTCTCTATCGATCCATCCATCCATCCATCCATCTTCAAGGATTCAACAATTCTTGACACCATGCCGGAGGAGCCGGAGTACGTCAATCTCCCACCTTCTAAACCAAGCGACCGGCCCAAGCCAAATTCCAGAACTACGAAGCAACATGCTCTCAAAAGTCATATAACCACCTGCTTGTCGAGAAACATGTCTTCCTCTGGCCTATGTTCCACCTCCATGATGAGTTCAGGGAGTGTATCTTGTGTTAAGCGCCTCCCCCACGCCTGTCACTCTATTCATACAAGACATCTCTTCTCAGTGACGCTCCAGGGTGCAGGTCCACCCGACTGGTCGGGCGGGTCGTGGATCCCACTTCTTCGCTCCTCGAGTTCCAACTCGATCTGCTCCACCAGCTTCTCGTGCCTCGGAGCCGTGGCTTCTCATCGACTCATCGACCGGGAACCTCCAATCATCTCCAATCCATGCATCTCTCCTAATCCATGGCGGTCAAGAAAGTTCCACTTTTCTGGGGTGTGACTTGTCTTTCTGAAGGAGTTTTGGTTAAAAACACAGGGGCATCCCCTTGACATCGGCGGCTTTGAAACCCGACAAGTCACACATAGTCAATCATAGTCACACCCACTGTCACACCCCTTCACCCCTTCTGGACTGTACAGAAAACACGGTCCCGAAAATGTCTAAGCACTTTCCATTTAGACCCGTCCCATTCTCCCTGTATCGACTCTCCCAGGTCGAGCCCGCCCCCATTGACCAAAGAAGAACTCTCTGACGAGGCTTCAACTTCGGCCCTCTGCTCTGCTCTCTTCACACGATCGAAAGCGACGCTACTAGGGGCTCCTGGCCTTACTACTAGGAGCGAGGACGCTACTAGGGGCTCCTGGCATCGCTACTAGGAGCAAGGACGCAAGGAAGTATGAGGAATGGTACAGGACACTGCCGGGCCACTTCTGGCGAAGTTGATCGGAGCATTGGGTGACAGCATCCGCCAAACCTGCAAGCCCAAACAGTTTCTCCTTACCTCTCATGCCATGAGCATCTTATAGACGCCTGGTTGATCCAGAAGGGGTCTGATCATTTAACTCTTCAAGCAAAGGCCTTCCATAGAAGGGCCAACATGTTGACATTCCACACACTCTTGCTTGTAAAATCTTGTGCCACTCTTCCAAGCAATGACATCAGCATGATGTGATTCTGCTTTTCTGAACATTTGTGCCAGTGTTGGGGGAGGCCGAGTGATACCCCGCTAGTGAAATCGTTTCGTGACTTGCAGAGACGCTGGGTCTCCGACGTGCTTCCTCGGCTTTAGCTGCTTCCATCCTCAGATAGGCCGGAGCTAGCTGCCCTCACGCCTCACAGTTCGTTCTATCCTAGAAGTGATCACCCGACCGGGTAAACCTATTCTAGGCCATAGGCATTCTGGCAGTGGGTCAAAACATGGGGACCCCTCAGCATGGCCACTCCGCATGGGATTTCGATCTCTCTTCTCCAGTCCCTCGCCCTCAGCCGAAAAAACGCATGAAAACCACCCAGGACTTGCTTCCGAAGCACCTCCGTCCATCCAACATCCGACCCATGACCCGACCCGTTCCAAGGCCCCCGTGCTCGGACAAAAGCTTCCGAAAATCCTCCATTTCCTTGCGCGCCAACCTGAGCCGCCAGTCAGAGGTGTCATGCCGAGTGGAAGTTCTAGGATTCGAAGAGAACCAACTAACACACACACACAAACAGATGTGTGTATATATATATACCTAGCACTTCCAATGGGTGCCCAATGGAGACCTATAGGTAGGGTAGGGTTGTCCATTGAGTTGTCCATTGGTGACCCGTTGGAAGCACCTGGTATATGCAAATATGCATGTGAGACATGGAACATGTTATATAGATCTACAACTGTACTATGGACAATTTCCATCAAATGTAGCTTGAGTACCCTAGCTTCATGGGAGCCCCATGTTTTCTCCACAAAGGGTACCTATCACTGCAAATCACTGAAATAGAGAAATGTAGAGAACACCTGCTTATTTGGGAGGCGGTCGGGGCGTCCTGAATTTCTCACAAAGCAGCTTAAGCCCGTGAGAACATGCGATAACCCATGAACACAAAGTGCAGCCAGAACACTGAACATCTCAAAATCTACATAATGTTCACCATCCAAAGCTACATGCTCGTTCATTGCCAGCGCGCGCTGCCAAAGAGAAAACACCAAAAGACCATCCTATGTTTTTCCCAGGATGGATGATCGGTATGGATCTGTTTCTATCCTCCAGTCTCGGCACCCTGCGGGACCAGCTGGTTGCGCTCCAAGGTCAATGAAGCACCGGAAATGCACATCCGGACCTCCATCTCACCTCAGCTCGGACACCACCCTGCTCCGAGCTTCGTAGGTTGTTCTTTTCTCGCGTGACAACAAGAGAATCATCGATGATGTGGTGCCCATATCGATGTATTGTATATATATATATACACACCTATACTTATATATATGTATATATGATATTGTTTAGCTTTTCTTTATGTGTTTGAAGTTTTGGTACGTGACAAAAACAAACAACTTTGGAATCTATAGCCTAGCACTTGAGCCAGCTCTGTTTTGGAGTATCAAGCACCCAATCTCAATGGCTTGGACGTTTGCCTATCCGGGGTCCAATGGACATATTGTACTGCACACACACATATACGAAGGACCTTGGTTGACCACTCACAATGAACAGAAGAGACTACCAAACATGGTGAACATGGTTTCGAGGGGTACTGCATGGTCATCACAGGGTCAATCACCCACTGCCACACGCTTGGATTTGCTTAAAGAGCCGGAAGGGGATTTACCATAGGTAAAATAGAAAAGCACCTGATCTTGAAAAATCACACACACAAAAAGAAAGCGCACCATCACTACATACTCATCCCATCCACTCGACCGCTCCCAGGACCCCGTGCTTTTAGTGTTCACCAGGATCTCGCACAAGCCCTGACCTCCGGTCCGCACGGCCAAGTCACCACGCCTCGGAAGAATGGAGCCGTCGGTGGAGATGTCCACGGTGGATGTCAGGTGGACATATTATAAGATGTAGACGGAATAATGGGGAATAACTTGGGGAATATGAATCAAGAGACTCCATTGTTTGTTTACACTCATTTGGATTTTACAAACAAAAAACGCATCACATCGAGGTGTTATTCATCAACTGCCCAATTGCTTGCCCCGAAGCGATGGATTTTGCATGGTTTTGCAGCTTGGCCACCTATCAAAATCAAAAAAAAGAAACTGTGAACCCTGGGGAACATGAGCCGAACCAATGGGTTTTAGATGGTTTTAGTATGTTTGGTCTTCGATTCTTCTGTCCGGTCGGGAAATCATCAACTGCCTAATTGCTTGCCCCGAAGCGATGGATTTTGCATGGCTTTGCAGCTTGGCCACCTATCAAAATCTTTAAACAAACTGTGAACCCTGGGGAACATGAGCCGAACCAATGGGTTTTAGATGGCTTTAGTATGTTTGGTCCTCGATTCTTCTGTCCGGTCGGGAAAAGCCGCACAGTCAACCGATCGAAGTGAGGTCTCAAATTTTGAGAGGCAAGCAAATATGCAATACACTATCTTGCTTTCTCTTTTGAAACATATTGTCATCCATTGTCTACCTTCTATAGGTCAGCTGGAAATAATGGCCTTACTAGGGAATGAGGCGACTAAGCATTTCTGCAAATGTCATCCTCACTTTTTTCTGAGTTGCAACTTTGAACAGCTCTCATATTGGTTCCAAATGTCCAGCTGGCACCCACATTAGCACGACACCTTTATCGGAATTAAGGCAGGCTGATCTGCCATAGGTATATAATTGGTTGGAACTTCCAACATCTTCCAACAACAACAGTTGCTGGTAGATTCTTTTACCTATAAGTCGTTTTAAATTTCTGGATTCTTCCACCATCGCTTTTCTCTTGCACCTCTTTGATCCTCTTTGTAGGTCGACTGGGGCAGTTTCGCCATGTGATCCAACCCGAGAATCCGCCGCGTCGTCCGCCGCCTCCACAAGGCAGAGACGCCAATGTTCTTCAGCGCCTGGGACCGTGGCTTCGCGCCACGGAGACGGAGACGGTGGATGAAACA